GTCGATTCTAGTCTTAGCTACCGGTCACACATTGTTGATCTCGCCCGATCGGCTAGTGCCACTTGTAACCTCCTGCTCAGAGTCTTCATATCTAAAAGAGCGGATTTCTATCTTGAGCTCTATCGTAGTTTTGTTGTCTCAAAGATGTTGTACTGCTCACAGATCTGGTCTCCACATCTGGTTTGCGAGAAAAACTTACTGGAACGAGTCCAGAAACGGTTTCTCAAACGATTGTCCTACAGATGTAACCTCGAGCTCGGCCCAAACCGCGTTCCGACTGTAGAATCTCTCCACCGTCTCATTGATACCCGTATTCTCCGCAAATTGGAGAGTATGGGCAAATTGGATGACTTTTTCTCCATTTCCGAAAATCACCGGCCTTCAGCTATACGAGCTTCTCGAACTGCTCCCGCTTCAAGGACTCCTGAACGAGCAGGATTCCATACGTAGCCATCGAGGCAATTTTCAGTTGAGAGAGTGTGATCGCGGTCTGTAGAGACCTATTGGCCCTCGACTCTAGAATTGAACAGTAAGCACGCGTAGCTTTGCGTGCCCTTTCCACGTTGTGCTACGGGGTCGCCGAACCTTTCCTCGATAAAGCTATACCGAGGGAGCCGAAATGATTCACGTTCTCTATACGTTGTCCTGCGACTTTGAAGGCGCAACCGGACGCCGGCGGTCCTCTATCGCCGGACTTGATCGCCTTGATTTTTGTGACATTGGTCAATAGTCCGTTTTCTTGCGAGTATTCTTGTAGTGTCTTAAGCGCTCTGAGAAGATAGAAGATAGGTACGCGATCGAGAGCATAGAACGACATCGTTGGCAAACAGAAGCTGTAGACATCGTGGTGACGATGGGAGATTTCTTCCGGGAGGTCGCTCAGGGAAACGGTGAAGATGAATTGGGAGGGCTTGTCGCCCAGAGCGACCCCCGTGGTCTGCTCCGAAACGCCGTCTTCTGTCGCCACTTCCCCACTATGTAGCATCTGAGCGATCAGTCAAGGCAAGCCGCAAACCCCGGCCGCCGCCAGTTTTCCATGACGATCGTTCGCAGAGCCGTGCCAAAGGCCGACTTATGGTCAACAAAGACGGCTTATTAGGGCGTTAAACGTCTGTTCGCGGAGGGCTCGACTCGTCGAGAAAAACTCTACACGACGACAGTGTCGACTCACCCGGCGGAAAGCAATGTTGAACGTTCCGTATTGTGCCCATGAGGTCGAGGTAGTGTCCCTGACGAGTGGCCATCAGTAAGGACAGCACCTAGCTGAGTGTGCTCCTTTAAGCGATGCCTCGCCAGGCGTTCGGGTTCGTAGGGTTGCCTTTTTCCCTCGGAATTATTCTCAAGAGGCATGACGCCCAATTGTTCGCTCTCTGTTCGGGGTACGCACTCGTCAGCGCCGGAGTCCGCGGAGTGAGCGCTCTTGTGCGTTGGAGCCGTCCGGCTTGAAGCTTTGTGCCGAGGGAGAGCCGCGATCGCCTCGACCCGATAGACTGTTGTCCGAGGCAAGTTCAAAATTTCATATTCAAATCGATCTCCAGTGGTCCTAACCCAGTGGATCGTGGGGACATGCCTCGGACCGGAGCCCCTCGAGCAAAAAATTCAGTTCAGGTTTAGCTTGGTGCCAAACCTGTGGGTTGTGTCGAACTACGTCAATGTGCTCCAGGGGACTCATTGCGGGAGCGCGATGAAGTCAATGAAGCACATGGATGTCAGACTCATCGTTTCAATATATAGTTATCATTCAATATTAGAAACCTTATAAGTCCATCTTCGATTATGGGATCGGGTTTCTGATAGCTGAAGTGTGAAATGAAAATATCGCTTCGCGATGAAACCAGATTTGGGTTCTTCAAGATAAGTTCCAACTCATCTAAAGTCTCACTCAAAAGGATAGAGTCCGGCCGCGTTCTTTCGAAGCCAATGAAGTTCGATCCCGGATGCAAAATTCAGGATCCTTAACAATATGTTCCTATTATCTCAAGTCTCGATACGGGGAAAATATTCGGACGCACTCTTATGAAGCCGATGAAGCTCGGTCCCGCATGAAAATCGTGGGTCTTCAACGATGTGTTTCTATTCCTATGAAGTTCCGATCTAGACGATCAAGTTCGGCCGCACTCGAGCGAATCCGAGAATTAATCGATGAACTCGTATCGCAATAAGGTTCAAATCCGGATGTGAGTCCCGAGTCCCGAACCCTCAATCAGCGAATCAGGAATATACTATTTCCTTGCTCAAAACCTTAAGAGTTTCTCGGGCCTCAATGATGAGGGAATGAAAGACCCGAGAAACTGACAGTAAAGCTGACAGTGAAAAGACAAAGTCGAATATTGCGAGCCGTTGGCTGACTCGGATCCCTTTCGGCACACAAACCCGGCATTGCTGAAATTCAGCTTCCCGGCTCAGAGCATCCAAATCGGTTCCGAGGCCGGATCCTGTCTATCTAGTAGCGGTCTGCGTCTGAGACCCTTATGGAGTGGATCTTCTCTATTTCCCTCTTATAGATATCCCCTAACCCCTACACTCCCCCCTTTGAAGAATGTCCCTCCTGGGACTGTAGGTGCGGACATTCCGTATGGCGGCTGTCTTCTGCCTGCCGTTCTCTTCGTAGACTAGCCTTTTTGGAATACCGTCCATGACCTGCACATCGGTGATGGGGAAGGGCCCCAGGAACTTGACCTGTTTTCCGAAACCTTTACGGACAAGAATTTCGTTTCCTATTGAAAACTTCGGAACTTTCGTGACAAGTCTCCGATCGAAATCCTTCTCCTGTCTTTGTCGGATCCGGTTCTCTTCTTCGGGCAAGAATTTCCTCTCAATTAGACGTAATCTACTCCGGAAGCCTAATCTCTCCTCGGCGGGTAGGTACGGAGCTTCCTCATTCAAGGCGAAATGAGGAGAGCAACCGATCGTCCTGCAGCGCGAACGATTATGGTGACGTACAGGAGCGTACAAGGCTGCCTTCCATCCTCCGCGGATATTCGGGAACATGGAGACGAAGACT